CTCCGCCTATGATACCACCTACTGACAAGATTCCTTCAGGCAGAGAATTCCATATCCTTATTGTTCTTACTGTAAAAAAACCTTTTCTTTGCCTTAGATGAAATCTCCTTTCTTCCAGCCTGAATGTGTGACCTCGTGTCCTATGTATAGCCCTGTTTATGAATAGATTTCCAGATAAAGGTTTGTACTGGCCCCGAATATATTTGTATAAAGTTATCATATCCCCTCTCAGGAGCCGTTTTTCCAAACTAAACAGATTTAATTTTTTTAACCTTTCTTCATAACTAAAATGCTCCATTCCTTTTATCAATTTTGTAGCTCGTCTCTGGACCCTCTCCAGTGCCATGATATCCTTCTTTAGAACAGGCGCCCAAAATTGCACAGCATATTCAAGGTGTGGTCTTACCAGCGATTTATAAAGAGACAGAATTATATTTTCATCCCGAGAATGTATGCCCCTATTTATACATGACAAAATCTTACTGGCCTTAGCAACTGCAGATTGACATTGCATATTGCTGCCTAATTTGTTGTCTATAACAATTCCCAAATCCTTCTCGTGTGTGGTTATCCCTAATTCACTACCATTTAGTGTGTAAGTTGTTTGTGCATTCTTAACCCCGAAGTGCATAACTTTGCATTTCTCTATGTTAAATTTCATCTGCCATTTTAGTGCCCAGTCCCCCAATCTATCCAAATCTCTCTGCAGCAAAGCAATATCCTGCTCATATTTTATTACTTTACAAAGTTTTGTGTCATCTGCAAACACTGATACATGGCTTTCAATGCCTATTTCAAGATCATTTATAAATATGTTAAATCTCAGGACACTGGAAACAAAAAAACAGCCCAGACACCAAGAGAATGGATGAACAGGGTGGGAGACATAAGACGTATAGAAGAGCTGATCCTATCTGCAGCAGGAAGCGCACGGAATTACCACGATACATGGTACCACTGGCTCCAGTGACTATCCTCTGATACTAACGCGAGAGGCGCAGAACAAACAGAAGGCATTGGAGGGACGCCCGCCCCAGACGTACTCAGAAATGAAACCATGGACAACCCAACACTTGAACCAACAAGCCACCAACCTAGCAAATATTTAGCCTACCCCTTCACAGCTCACTCTATGGCACAGCACCGTCAAAATTAGATGAGACATAACGCACAGTGCCACACACAAGGTCTTACCACTCACTCACTCTAAGGATACACGAACAGGCCCACAACTCTGCAAGGTCACAATATTGTAAAAGGACCCAGGCGTTTGCAGGCACAAATTTATCTCGAAAATGTCGCTGTTTATATCCATGTTACAAAGGTTACTTATACAAAACCAGGAAATGTACTACAATACCAAGCAACTCTGTTATGTCATAATGCTGCCATTTCAAATTGTTATCTTATGTTACAAAATTATATGATACTTTCTCATTCCAAACTGTACTACTGGAGACAAAACATTTTATCACTGTATGTACTAACCATGTCTAAAACCTTGAATAAAAAAATAAATAAATAACATATGGTATAGGTGGGGCTTTCTGCTTAAACTGGTAGTGAATCCGGGTGCATCAACCTACTCTCTAATACACCATGAAGAAACAGATACTTTTTTTGCATGATCTAGGCGTAACTAATGTGGAAGATAACACCAGTGTCTCACCAGGGTTGCTTACTGGAACCACCATTGGTCATCCCCCGGCAGTTGTTTGGGTGTCCTAATCCCCTGATAGATGGGCCTCCATTCTGGAAGAGTCCCTTTTCAAAACATCAGCCAGATCACCACCTGATGTTTCACCATTAGTACTATCAGCAGCTTTAGGTTCTGCCGGAGGGGTATGGAGATGTCTGCATCTCTTTATATGTAGTTCCAGCTATCTCATTTAGGGAAGGATCCTGCAGAAGAAGATGATGCTTCTGAATGGCCTCTTCACAAGGGATCTGAACGTATGGGAAACTCATCTAAAAGGCACTCCCAAACCACCAGTCCACCAATCCAACTGTCTCCCATGCTAACTAGGCTCAAGTTCCCTCCACCAGTTCTTCGTATTCACTTGTAGACACTGTTACAGTTGCCAATATACTTTTATACTTTGTTTCATATATAGACTAAAAACATTTAGAAAAATAACCTAGTCTTTTACATGGAAATATATGATATATATATACCGTATTTATCGGCGTATAACACGCACCGGCGTAAAACACGCACCTCATTTTAAGAAGGAAATTTCAGGGAAAAAAAACTTAAAGGACCACTATAGTGCCAGGAAAACATACTCGTTTTCCTGGCACTATAGTGCCCTGAGGGTGCCCCCACCCTCAGGGACCCCCTCCCGCCGGGCTCTGGAGAGAGGAAGGGGTTAAACACTTACCTTTCTCCAGCGCCGGGCGGGGAGCTGTACTCCTCCTCTCCTCCTTGCTTGCGACGTCATCGGCTGAATGCACATGCGCATTCAGCCGGTCGCATAGGAAAGCATTTACAATGCTTTCCTATGGACGCTTGCGTGCTCTCACTGTAATTTTCACAGTGAGAAGCACGCTAGCGGCTGTCAATGAGACAGCCACTAGAGGCTGGATTAACCCTCAGTATAAACATAGCAGTTTCTCTGAAACTGCTAGGTTTATAAAAAAAAATAAAAATAAAAAAAACACGGGTTAATCCTAGAGGGACCTGGCACCCAGACCACTTCATTAAGCTGAAGTGGTCTGGGTGCCTAGAGTGG